GGAACCCTCCGCCGCCGGACGCCTCCTGACCGCCGCTCGGCGCCGCAGCTCGGCCCGGGAGGTGCCGCCCGCCGTACCTGCGTCCCGCGTCCCCCGCGCCCGCCGCTGCCCGCCCGCCTTCCCCCGGGCGGAGCGTCCCGGCCGCCGCCCCCGCCCCGCCCGGCCCCGACGCGGGACTACAAATCCCGGCAGCCCCTGCGGCAGCGCGGCGGCGCCGGACGTGGCGCGGGGCTGCTGGGAGTTGTAGTCCGGGAAAGGGGACGGGAGGAGGAGAAACGCCCGGAAAAAGGAAAAAAATGTTAATTCAGAGGGCGYTCCATCCCTGRAAGCGTCCAAAGYCAGGCTGGACGGGGTTTGGAGCAACTGGAGATGGTGCAAAGTGTCCTTGCAAATGGGACAAGATGCTCATTAACGTCCCTTCCAAACAATTCTAGGATTCTCCTAAAGAATGAACTTGACACTCACTATTCCCCACTTGCCGTCGCAGGCTCGCAGTCAAAAGGGAAACAAAGCAAGAATTTACCAACTATTAAACTCCCAGTCGAGTTCGCTCAGGCAGCGTTTTATTTGGGAAAAAAAAAATTTCAAACATCCATTTTTTTCTCTGCCCCATTTCTGTAAATTGTTTGTAAATTGTTCTGTAAATTCTCCTGCAGCTGAAAAGTGCCAAAAATTACAAGCTGTAAGCAGAAGTTGGCCGGAATAGAAACGTTTCTATGTTGTTCCTGAGGTGTTTTCTGCCAGCTGTGGGACTGAAAACTCACAGAGGTGACAAAAGAGTCAAACATCTGAGTGAAAATGAATTAGCAAACCACAAAACCACCCTGAAATTCCGAATGAAAAACTATGAAACAGCTGAAAAACAGCAGTTTGGACCCAGACTGGGGAACTGTGGGGAGAAAKGAGGTGGTTCCAGGCCACAGAGCACAGAAATCACAGAAATCGGTGGCCAAGGGCTGGGATCCCACAGTTTTCCCAAAAATCCAAAATGCCAAGTGCCCCCAGGAGCAGAGGATGCTCCGTATGGATCCATCCATCAGGAAAAGGAGAAGTGCTGCCTGTTTTCCACCAAATCACCCATTTTTGATCCTGCAGGGGGGACCGAGCTGTCTCCAGGAGCCCCTGGGCTCGGAGAGTTGGATCTGAAAGGTTCTGCAGCTCCACAGGGGCTGGAATTTCCCTCCAGAAGGGGCTGGAACCACAGGAGAGCCTCGTCCTGCGGGAAAACTGGGATGGGAAAGCTGCTGGAATGGGATGGGACCAGTGTGGGAACATTCAGCCCTTGGGATGGAACTGAAAAGGGTTAAATGTGAATTGTCGGGGGTTAAACTCAGGATGGGACCACTCTGGGAACGCTCAGCCCTTGGGATGGAACTGAAAAGGGTTAAATGTGAATTGTCGGGGGTTAATCTCGGGACTGGACCACTCTGGGAACGCTCAGCCCTCGGGATAGAGCTGAAAAGGGTTAAATGTGAATTGTCGGGGGTTAATCTCGGGATTGGACCACTCTGGGAACGCTCAGCCCTTGGGACGAAGCTGCCCCGGGTTTAAATGTGAATTATCGGGGGGATACTCTTGGAATTATCAAAGGGAACACTCAGCCCTTGGGATGGAGCTGCAAAGGGTTAAATATGAATTTTCGGGGGGTTAATCTTGGAATGGAGCTGTCCGTGGGTTAAAATGTGAATTATCGGGGGTTAATCTCGGGATTGGACCACTCTGGGAACGTTCAGCCCTCAAATTCGGAGCTGCCCCAGGTTAAATGTGAATTATCGGGGGGTTAATCTCGGGATGGAGCTGCCTGTGGGTTAAAATGTGAATTATTGGTGGTTAATCTCGGGATGGAGATGCCTCTGGGTTAAAATGTGAATTTTCGGGGGTTAATGTCAGGATGGGACCACTCTGGGAACGCTCAGCCCCTAAATCGGAGCCGCCCGGGTTAAATGTGAATTATTGGGGTTTAATCTCGGGATGGGGCACTCTGGGAATGTTCAGCCCTCAAATTCGGAGATGCCCGTGGGTTAAAATGTGAATTATCCGAGGGTTAATCTTGGAATGGAGCTGCCCGTGGGTTAAAATGTGAATTATCGGGTGTTAATCTCTGGATGGAGCTCCAAAGGGTTAAAAGTGAATTATCTGAGGGTTGATCTCGGGATGAGATCACTCTGGGAACGCTCAGCTCCTGAATCGCGGGTTAAATGTGAATTATACGCGCATTAAGCACCAGTTTTTCACCAATTCAGCGCAAAATTCTGATTTTCTTGAGCCAACAAAGCCATTCCCAGGGCTCTTCCCAGGGAAGGAGCAGAACTTCAAACCCCACAGGAATTCCTTCTAACACTGGAAACCAGCGATAAAAACGCCATCGAAATTCGGGGCATCAGCCACTCGTTAATTTTGGCTTTGCAGGGGGGTGTCATCAGGCTTTTGTTCATTTTGGAAAAGAATAAAAAGCGATTTCTGAGCCAGGATTGTAAATAAACTGAATAATTCCCACTTGGAAAAGTTGGAGAAAGCGTTTCCTGCTCAACAGCTCCTCCTCCTGCTCGCACGCAGCGCGGAGCCATCGAAGCTTCTTTTATTTTCACTTTTTATTTTCACTTTTATTTTCACTTCTTTTATTTTGGCTGCAGAAATAAATAATCTGCTCCAGTAAAAGTGTATTTATCGTGCACTCAGTGCTGTAATACACGGGAATTGGGGATTATAAACGGAATAAAAGGGAATTCTTTTGGGTCCAGCAGAAAAAAAGCAACTTTCAGCTTTTACAGGGTAAAAAGCRATTTTTGTGGTAGCCAGAATGAAAATAGAGAGTGAGATCTTGGAGAAAAATTCTCATTGTCTGTTAATCTGAATGACACCAAAAACTTTGTGTTG